CTACCTCGTGTAATTATTATGCGGTCAATTCCATTTCTCCCGTCCCTGGTGTCCACCCTCTCGTGTTCTCGCTGCGCCGTCATTTGGGGCAGATGAGGGACCATAGACCTGGCCCCGAGTGATCCCAGCACCTGGGCTCACACTGTGGCCCTGAAGTCACTTGCCTTCTTCCTCACCTTCTACCATCACGTTACCTGTGCCTGATTATCGTTGTTATAAACATCCTAACCCTCTGGAATCACTGGCGCTGGGCCTGGGAAGTGGTGACCTGTGCAGGCATCTGTCGGCACTCCAGCATCTCGGTGCACGGCAGCCCCAGGCTGAGAAAGGCCCTGATGACGAGGCCTTGGAGAGCCCTGGGCAAGGAGCAGTTTGTTTCATCAGAGTCAGTAACTGCTGTCACTGAACAAGCCCATGGGTGGCAAGAATGCACAAGGTTTGGGTGTTGTCCTCTCTGTTCATTTCCTTCTTTCTTCCCCACTCTTTCTACACCCCATTAATTCTTTTTCCACTCCTCTCTGTTTCTACCCTCCCTTCCAGTGGTCCTGGTCCCTCATCTGGGTCCCAAACCACCTTGGACTAGAATGGTGGCCTCATTTCCTCACAGGCCTCCTTCACTCTCTACACAGCAGCCCTAATATATTCTCCAAGCGTCATTTTGGTCTGTATTCCCTTTACAGAGACCTGTAATGGTTGTCAGTTGTTCTGTGGTCAACCTAAAGTTTTTTTTGAATGGTGACATAGGTTGTCTCATACCATCCCACACACATCAATTGCCCTCCTCAATCTTGCTGTGCTCTCAGAGCTCAGTCTCTACTTCAGCCCAGGAAAGCTTCTTTCTGTCTCCCCACATGCTCTTGCCTGCAGCCTGTGGTCTTTTGGCCCATCTGGAACTTCCTTCTTTCCTTTCTCTGCTGTTTTTTGCCATTCCCTTCTTTTGTGCCCTGCTTAAGACCAGTTCCACCCATGGAGCTTTTTCTTTTGAACAATTGATGTCTGAGGGCATGTATGAGTTTTGTGCCACTATAGGACCTGCCCATGGTTTTGTGTGTTCGATATATGTTGAATTAAAAGGAATTTTATGATGTGGAAATGCTTTGGCCAACAGAAGATAGAAAAGGAAAACAAAGGAAATTTGCTATAGTTTTAAATTTTGAGAATCTTACTCTTCCTGTCCACTCATCCAGGAGGTGGACCCTGGATGCCGATGTCTAGGATGGTAGTCTCTAAATTAGGGTGTTTGCATCCCGGAGTGTGTGCAAAATGATCCATTGGATATAGAAAGAAAAGCGTGACAATTTCCATTTTTATCTCATCCTTTTAATCCCTATTTCTGATACGTGTTTTATGATGTACATTATGTATTAGTAGAGTATTACAAGCATATAATTAAAATAAATAAACATGCATATGGTGGAATTCATGTTCATAATTTTTTTTTAACTGATGGAGTTTACTATAAAAAAATGTGGAGACCAAGAGACCAGAAGAGATTGGGAAAAACACCATACATGGTTAACAGATTTATATGTCTGAGCTAATCAAGATAGGAGTAATAAACAACAGAACAGAATAGAGTTTACAAAGGATTTTCAAGTAAATAACTGCATTTATGATAAGTTGTCCAACAGTCTTGGGAGCTGAGACCCCAAAACATTCTGTTGTAATGCTAGCTGGAGGCTGAGCTACGGCAAGAAGAGCAAGAAAGAGGAACAGAGATGAGGTAACGGGGTGAGGAGTTTTCACTTGGAAGAAGAAGATTAGGGCTTTAAAAGAGGAGATTCCCAAATTGTAGGAGAGGAGCACAAGGGATTTCCCAAAGAGTAGAGAGAGGGTGAAGCTGGATAGAGGAAACTGTGGAAAGCTGGGAGTATCATAAAGAAATTTTTTCTTTTTTCCTTTTTTTTTTTTGGCAGCAACATGAGTGAGCTGGGAGGGCAATAATAAATTGCGGGGACTGAATTTTGGGGCTTAAGCCACAAGAGGGATGGGTGGAGGCAGCAAAGGCAGGAGCATCAGGGATGTCACCTGGAAGACTGGCTTTCCCTTGGACAGAGCTCCAGAACTTTACTGAATGTCTTGGGTGGGAGGGGAATGGTGGTGCCACTCTCATGTTCTGCAACATTTTCACAGCCTTTTGATTTATGTCAGGACTAGTGGGCTTATCTCAGGAGTTTTCAATTGGTTGATGTTCTCAACCTTCCTTTCCTAGGCTCTAGCTCATAAGAGCCCATAAGCATTTGGTGGCCCCATCTTGACCAAAGACACAGCCTAATATCTCATCCTGACTTTCAAAGCCTTCTGGGATCTCTCCCCAGCCTGCCTTTTCAGCCTGATATGCCACCATTCCCTTATGGAAATCCCCTGCTGTAGTCAAACTTATCTATTTCCTGGACATGATCAAACTTCCATCTCCTTTACTGGTGTCATCTCTGTCCTTTCAACATACAAGACAGCACCTTTGCTGTCCCACAACGAAGGGGCTGCTGATGTTACTGAATTCTTCTCAGAATTCTTGGTATGGAAATAGGATGACACATACATTTAGAACCACAGCCTGGGAGTGCTCCTTTTTTGTTCTCTGAGAGATAGAACTGAGCTAAGTGTTTCCCACACAGGCAATGTACTCAGGATTCCTACCTTTACCACCCTCATGATCATACATACAAAGACTACCTGTGAAAATTTCAAAATTCTCAGACTTGGCTTCCACCAAATAAAGTCTGAGAAACAAAATGTAACAAACAAAAAGCACAAACAACAAAAGAATCACCATAAAGCATATTCCATATTAAAATACAAATGATTGCTCACACTTTTGGATTAACTTAATCTGCACATAGTGTACGTCCAGTAAATGTTTGTGGTTTATGATTAGTGCATGAAAGCACTTTGAGGGCAGATACCTAGTTCATTGTTACAGCCCCAGCGCCTTTCACAGCGTCATTATGATATACAGGAGATGCTTATTAATTGTTGTTGGTCAAATTGAGGGTTAACAGCATATTTTTCCCATTATATGAGCCATCAAATATGTAGGAAGTAGAAGGGAAAAGATGTAAATTTTCCATATTGAGAACTTTGTGGCTGGCCAGACGCCAGAGCTACGAGCTCAAAGTTTGCTTTATTGCTCCGTGTTCCAGGAGCAAACAGCCAAATGTCAGCCAGAGGAACAAGGGCAGGGTAGAGAGCAGCTGGGAACTTATCCCCTGGAGATTTGCATCTTCTGAGAAAGGCAGAGTGAATTCGTCGCCTTAGTTCACTTCTCCTTTCCCCAAGATCACCGTGTTCACCACAGCAGGGCTTCTGTGTTGGAAGGACAGTTCTACTGGACCTTTGTCTCAGGTGAACTGGGAACTAGAAAGAGATGCTGAGAGTTCTGGATTCTATTCTGTCTTTGTGGGGTTCTATGCATGGAAATAGTAGGCTATGGTGCTGGTCAGAAGATGAGTGTTCTGTAAAATACTCCCTCACTCTCATGTTGCTTGATCCTGAGCCTTCACTATTGCCATAGCTGACCCAGAACCCTTTCTGCTTGCCTTACTCTCTGTGACACACTAACCTGCTCACACGCACCTGAGTAAGTAAGCGCTCACCTGATTGCTTTTTATTTTTGATTCTTTGAGCCTCATTCCTATTGAAAATGTGGCCTTTGCTTACTCCACCTTCCTCTAATTAAAGTAGATATCCAGTATTTGGTGCCTTGGATCTCTGTTGCATCCCTGATGCTCTCCTGAATTTTCCTTGGACCACTTGTCCCTCCACAGGGTGGATATCATTATAATAACACTTGTCATCACCACCTTATTTCTTATACATGTGTAGAGATTTCTAGTTTCCACATATACATCCATATATGTGTGTGTATATATATTCACATATATTTGTGATCCATATTTTATAGATGAAGAAGGTGGGGTTCAGAGAGGTTAGACGACTAGTCCAAAGATCCGTAGATAGTGACTGTGACCAAACTCAAAGCCTGGTCTTCTGCCTTCAGCTGTGGATGAAGAAGATAGGACACAAGATGTGCTGCTAACCATGCAAAGATTTCTGGTCTTGGAACCAGTTTGGGTCTTGGTCTTTTCTCCAAACTGTGACTTTAGGCGGGAGTCTTAATCTATAACTTGAGGCTTCGTTTGTTCATCTATAAAATTATTTAATACCTTTTTTGATGTTTCTAATGTTTAAAAAATTTTTTTTTTATTGGGGTATAGTTGTTTTACAATGTTGTATTAGTTTCTACTGTACAGCGAAGTGGACTTCCATGTGCTATACAGCAGGTTCTACATATTGGTTATCTATTTTATACATACTAGTGTATATATGTCAGTCCATTTAATGTCTTCTTTCACTCTGAAAACTGCGATTCTAGTCCTAGAATCTAGTCCTGTGAATCTTATCCTGTGAATTAGAACAGATGATACTTTTCACATCTTACAGATGGAGAAACTGAGGCACAGAGGGGCCTACTGACATACCCAGTAACTCACAGTGATGGTGGAACTAGGACTAACACTTGCCTTGATTCCTAGCCCAGAGTTCTTCCTGCCATAGCCCATTAGTGCTATAGCTATCATAGTAGGCTTTCCTATATGAAATGCCCTTTAAAGATCACTAATAAAATATGGTTAAAAAATTCACTTGCTTGATTATGTATAATTGTCTGCTATGTTCTATTTGATGATAACAGTCACCACAAGCAATAGTATTTGAATTAACCTCTCTCAGTAGAGGTTTTGTTGAGTTTTCTGCCTGTCAAAGGGGTTTTCTAAAGGCACTTGCTTCATAGGGTCATTGTGAGAACTAAAGACAATGAAGATCACTTAGGACAATGCCCAGAACATACCAACCAACCAAGGATGTTGAGCTCTGACTGTTAGTAGCAGGTGTGCTCACTGGATTTCCTCACAGAGCAGCCAGTAGGTGTGTGGTCATATCTTAGGTGTCAGCTTAGAGAGGTATAAGCTCCCATGTAAGGGATGCTAAATGCAAGGGCCTGATATAGTACCCGCAGCAATGTTGATATAGGCAGACAGTAGGCAGAGGAAGGACAGGCAAATTCATGGGCAGGCAGGGGGACTTTTGAAACTGAGCCTTAATGATATTTGTATCTATTCAGAGAAGAAGAAACCTCTTCACCCTCCTCAGATAGCCCACATCCTCTACTTTATCCTCTGTATGTAGGGAAGCTGGAGAGACCAGCATCATACAGGACCCTCCAGAGCCACCCTACAGGAATAGACTTTGAAGTCTTGGGACCCATCTTGTCTGCAGGAGAGATGAGTGGAGAGGACATGGTTCCAGGACCTCAGTTGACTGATAAGATAGCCTTTATCTTTGCTATCATTTTATTCCTTTTGTGCTTGGTGGCAGTGGTGGGTAATGGCTTAATCACCGTGGCACTGGGCATGGAGTGGTTGCTGCAGAGAACTTTGTCACCCTGCAATAAGTTATTGGTCAGCCTGGGAGCCTCTAGCTTCTATCTGTGATGGGTGGTGATAAGAACATTTATATTTTCCTGAATCCAATAGCCTTCCCATACAACCCTGTATTCCAGTTCCTAGCCTTTCAGTGGGACTTCTTGAATGCTGTCACGTTATGGTTCTCCACCTGGCTCAGTGTCTTCTACTGTGTGAAAATCGCAACCTTCACCCCCCTGTCTTCCTCTGGCTAAAGCAGATGGTGTCTGTGTTGGTTCCATGGGTGCTGCTCAGCTCCATGGGGTTCTCCAGCTTCAGCACCATTCTAGTTTTCATAGGCAACCGGAGAATAGATCAGAACTATTTAAAGAGGGTTCTGCAACCTTGGAATGTCGCTGGGAATGCTGTGAGAACATATGAGAGACTCTGCTTCTTCCCTTTGAAAATTGTTACCTGGACAGTCCCTACTGTTGTCTTCATCGCTGGCGTGGCTTTGCTCATTCCACCTCTGGGAAGACACACCAAGAAGGTCTCCCTGTCCATCTCAGGCTCTCATGATCCCAGCGCCCAGGCACACATCAAGGCTCTCCTGGCTCTCATCTCCTTTGCTGTCCTCTTTGTTTCCTATTTTCTGTCACTGGTGCTCAGCGCCTCAGGTGTGTTTCCATCACGGGAATTCAGGCACTGGGTGTGGCAGGCTGTGATTTATCTGTGCACAGTAGTCCACCCCATTGTTCTTTTCTTGAGTAACAGCAGGCCGAGAGCTGTGCTAGAGAGGGGCTGCTCCTCAGGGCATGGGGCATCTTGAGTTGCTTTGATGAAGAGCCTCAGAGACTCTACTGCAGAAGGCCTGGGTAGAATGGGACATTGCTTCTTTAAATCTCTTTGCCACGTTTAATGCTCTTTCCCTCTTTGATGCATTTCATGATTTCAGTGAAATAGGATTTCAAGGTGAGATGGAATGTACTGAACTAGTGGTCTAGTGTCACTGATTTCCACCTAGCAAGGGTGTAGCTGATATAGTAAATGTCCCTGTGGGACTTGATGTGGCCAAAGAAGCAGGAAACTTTTATTTCCCTGTGACTAAACTCGGTGTTTAAAATTATCCCTCTGGAAACTGGATGCAAGGATCCGGACACATGATTGACTTTTTTTAAAAAAATTAATTAATTTTATTTTTATTTATTTTTGCCTGTGTTGGGTCTTTGTTGCTGCATGCGTGCTTTCTCTAGTTGCGGCGAGCAGGGGCTACTCTTCATTGCAGCTCACGGGCTTCTCATTGCAGTGGTTTCTCTTGTTTTGGAGCACGGGCTCTTGAGCGCAGGCTCAGTAGTTGTGGCACATGGGCTTAGTTGCTCCGTGGCCTGTGGGATCTTCCCGGACCAGGGCTTAAACCTGTGTCCCCTGCACTGGCAGGTGAATTCTTAACCACTGCACCACAGGGAAGCCCACGATTCACTTTTTATCTGTTGAATCAGACTGGAGAAGATTTTTGGAAACTGAATTTTCCTTTGGCTTCATCCTGTAAAACCATATTTCCTTTTTCATCCTTAACTGATTTCTAGCCATCTAGTGCAGTGAAGCGCTCTCTCCTTTCATGCAAGAGTTCCTGGTGTCTGAACTCTCTGTACAGAACATGGTGTGATTTGTGCATGTGTGCAGCTGTGTGTGTTACCTGGGATTTGTATATTCACAGATTACCTTTTGAGATCCCCCTGAATTCTAGGGGTTTATGATTTATATATGGTTTATGTCCTCTACAGTAGCTCAGTTAGTCTGTTCTATAAATGTTAAGGTCCATGAACCCAGATGTGACTTCTTTTATTTTACCATTGGGACCTACTAAAATTTTTGACATGGAGAGGTTCATCTGTTTCTGATGCATAAGATTTAAGAAGGCTCCCGTCTTGGTTTGGTGAAGCATGTAGACTGCTTTTCTGCCTTTCACAGATTTTCTCAAACTTTCCTTAAGCTCAATGACCTCTTGAATCATTCAAACTGAGATCCCTCAATGTCCCTGTATCTGCTTTGAAATCTCTCAGCCTCATTTCCTCTTTTTCCTCCCCTTTCCCTCTGTATTAGAAGACAGGTCCCTGCTTTTGACTTTTCAGGGCTAACATTCATGCTATCCTAGCCCCATGCTCTCCTGCCTCTTTTCTATCCCTTGCTGAGTCAAGAATTCCCACTTCTACACCAGTCCTCAACCTTTTCCTATTTACTGTCCTTCCCTTCTTCAGTGTGCCTCTTACCTTCCCCCACACAAAAAAGTCCCCTCCACTCTTTCATTCCCTCAAGTTATCATCCTACTAATTAGTCACTTGCTGAGAGTCTCCCCATGGGCACTTACAACCTCCTGCTGCCTTTTCTGTTGAAATGTGTTTCTAAAGGACGCACATGGGTTCCTGATCCCTAAATGTGGTATTATCCTCAGCCCCCATTTTCATGTGTCGCTGTAGTATTTGCCTCTCTTAATAGAAAATGATTTCTTAAAAAAATGGATTAAAATATTTTACAAAAAGTAATACCTGATTTTGGTAGAAGATTTTAAAGCAGGAAAATAAACATCACCAGTAATTGCTTACCCACATGTCTTCCTAAAAGTCCTTCTCTTGGCCTCTCAGATGCTGCACTAAGTTCTGTTCCCTGCTCTGCGGCTCCTTTCGTGTCTTCCTCACTGTCTGTTCATCATCTTGACTCGGTGTTTTCCTTCACCAGCCCTCTTCCTTCCTTGACATGAATCTTCTCCTTTTTCCTTCATGTTTACATCTACTCATGTAGTTTCAATTATGACCTTCATGTGAATAATCACCAAAGCCTTGACCTTCCTCAAAACTCTAAGCCTATATTTTTTCCTGCTTGCTGAGCATTTCTATCTGATAGTACCATGAGCACTTCAAACTTAGCAAGTTTGTAACAGCTGTCCTTTTTTTCTTCCTCCTTTCTTTCCCTCCACCACCCAGTTGAATCTATTTTTTTCTATTATTGATATCTAATAAATCAGACTTACCAAGTCTGAGCTAGTTTTCACTCCTCACTCTCCACTGAACCCTTGTATCTGATCAGCAGCTTGTCTCCAATTGGTGCCCTTGTAGTATCTCTGTTATCTGTTCCTTTCTTCCTGTTCCTGTAGATCCTACCTTAGATTAGACTGTCCTCTTCTCCCACCTAGACTGCTTATATTTCTTTTTCACCACTTGCTTCATTACAGTGTCTTCTTTCGCACACTCCCCCGACCCCCAATCAAAAGTACCATTACCAGATTGATCTCTTGACAATTTCACCCACACCTTATCACTGTTCAGTGCCTATCAATTAAAGCACATGTCCCTAAATTGGCATTCATGGACCTCCACAATGTGGAAATAGTTTTATCTTTCACTGCTTCCATTCTAGTAGAACCAACCCTATTTTGCAGCAAAATTTGGGTTATCATTGTTCTGGACATGCCTGGAACTTCCTCCATGACGTGCTGAAATGTGTTCTCTTATCCCACATCTACCTGTCAAAATCCTATTTAATTTTTTTTCCTGTTTAATTTTTTGTGTGTGGTACGCGGGCCTCTCACTGTTGTGGCCTCTCCCGTTGTGGAGCACAGGCTCCGGAAGCGCAGGCTCGGCGGCCATGGCTCACGGGCCCAGCCGCTCCGCGGCATGTGGGATCTTCCCGGACCGGGGCACGAACCCGTGTCCCCTGCATCGGCAGGCGGACTCTCAACCACTGCGCCACCAGGGAAGCCCTCCTGTTTAATTTTAAAGGTTAATTCAAATGGCTTCTCATCAGGGAAGCTTTTCTGGATGCCCCCACACCTCAAGCTTTGATCTCTCACTTCAGAGGACATACAAGTGGGGTGTTGCTCAGTTGTGACATGAATTCTGCCTTGTGGTGGTACGATCTGTATACTCATTTTATTCTCCTTAGTAGATTTTAAAGTTCTGGAAAGTGTGGGCTGCCTCATAGTCTTCCATGTGTCCCTGAAGCACTTATAAATACTTGCTACATTGAACAGAATGGTTCTCTTGCATCTGGAATCCAGCTGTAAGCACATGTACTTTTGTCTGTATATATATAATCTGGGCTACCCACTACTACCAATTACATTTTTATGGTTCTATTGGAGCCGTATGCCGTTCACTGGCCAGCTTGTTTTTGGAGGTCAGACATACATTCTGTTTCTCTTGAGTTATGCACAATGTAGGAATAATAAGTGGATGAGAGAGTAAAATTTGCCTGATTTTGTGATACCTTTACCTTCCTTCTTTCTTATGCATTTACATGTTGTTAAGCAACTGTGAAGCTCCTACCTCTGGAAATATAAGGGAAGTGCCATTTCTCCCCTTGGTTACTGACCCAGTGGACCTTTCCTAAGCAAACTGTCAACTACTCTTTGTTCCTTCCACTCTGTATTATTAGGCTAGGAGATGGGACATCTACCAGAACCTGCATGATCTCCCCACAGGGAGAAGTTCCCTTGGAACTTGAACACACAGGGAAATATAAAAGAGAAGTAGGATTTGTTATATTTTTAAAATACCTAGTAATTATAAAGCAGAAACTAACACACCATTGTAAAGCAATTATACTCCAATAAAGATGTTAAAAAATACCTAGTAATATTATTATCATTAATTTTTGCCTATAGTCTAATTTCATCATGCTTTATGGCGGCATTAATAACAATCATTCGTGAATGCTTATCTTGTGAGGCATGGGGCCACAAAATTTATTTACTTATATCCTTTATGTACTTAATTCTCAAACAAACACTGCAAAGTAGAAACTGAGGTTTAGAGGAGTTTACTGAGGTGTCATGGTCAGTGTATGATAGAACTGTGATACTTTAGTGCTATAATATGTAAAACATTGTGTTATTGGTGTAGGAATAGGTAAGTACATCAGCAGACAATCCAGATAATAGTTACATGGAAAATTATATTTGATAAGGAAGGCATTTCAAATCAGTGTGGGAAAAGATAGTCATTTAATAGTGTTGCAGCAAATATAGAGCCAACATTTTATCCTAGATCCTACATAGATGATCTTTAATGTAAATGTTATTTAATTTTTTAAAAGCTTCCCTTTCTTCCTTTTTTTTTTTTTTTTTTTTTGCGGTACGCGGGCCTCTCAGTGTTGTGGCCTCTCCCGTTGCGGAGCACAGGCTCCGGACGCACAGGCTCAGTGGCCATGGCTCACGGGCCCAGCCGCTCCGCGGCATGTGGGATCTTCCCAGACCGGGGCATGAACCCGTGTCCCCTGCCTTAGCAGGCGGACTCTAAACCACTGCGCCACCAGGGAAGCCCAAAAGCTTCCCTTTCTTGATAATTTAATTTTCTAATATTTTATTCCATAAAATACTGCCTTTATATTTTACAGAAATATTGACTCTTTTCTCCCCACCCTTTTGGGTGTCATCAAGAGTATGTATTACCCTTCAGCTCCTACAATTCTAAACCCCTGTTTTCTTAGGTCTTCTTAAGTCAGACTCAAAATATTGTCATAATGGAAATAATTGGTAAATTTGACTACAGAAAAATTTTAAACTTTTTAAATAACAAATTCTATAAATGTAAGGATCACTGAAGTCCTTTTCAATTTTAAAGGACAAGTAACAGAAAGGTAAATCTAATATCTCTAATATACAAAGAGCTTCTACAAATCAATAAAAGGCAAACTAATAGAATGTTGATTAATGATGAAAATATATAATAAAGATTGTCAAGTAAACATGTGAAAATAAGATTATCATCACTGTTGATCAAGGAAATGCAAACTAAAACAACAATAAGACTTCTGCTATAAACACAGCTGCATAAGTCAGTGTTTTTCCCTCTTCTTTCCCTGGAAAGCACATACAAGCAATAGAAAGTTTAAAAAGACTTTGAAAACTGCATTTTCAGTAAAGCTAAGAGACAAATAATCCAGAATTTCAAAATATGTGATACCACTACCAATCACAGATGAGATCA